TCAAATAAAAGCATCTGTGAAATGACGCTCTTTTCTTTTAAGGTGCCAGAGTAATCGGTGACGATGATGGACACTCTGGAGGACACCTTTAGGACTCTCTCCATCACCAGGAGGCTGCAGCCCAGTGAGGCCACGTACATTTTGGAGCTCTCCTGTCCCAGCAGTGGGTCAGATGTGCTGGCTGTGTGCTGCTCCAATCACTCTGTGCACCTGCACAGCAGAGAGACGCTCCGCCTGGTGGGTGACTTCCATGGTCACACGGCTCCTGTGTGTGGGGTGCGTTTCTCTCATCTCTCCCCTCACCTGCTGTTCAGCGGCTCAGCCGATGGGACACTGCGGTGCTGGGACGTCCGGCGGCCTGGTTCTGTTGCCACCCAGGTGTTCCGCAGCGATTTGACACATTCGTACCTCTCGTTTGATGTGAGCTGTAGTGATCGTGTGCTGTGCGCAGGCACGGAGCAGGTGGGGGAGGACAGTTTTTTGGTGTTCTGGGATACCCGTATGGTTCGGGATGGAGGTGAGATGGGCGGTCTGCTGGGCGTTTACTCAGAGTCACACAGTGATGACATCACTACGGTGAAGTTCCACCCACGGCAAGCAGACCGCTTGGCTTCTGGAGCCACAGATGGGCTTGTGAACGTGTTCGATCTGAGTCTGGGTGGAGAGGATGATGCACTTGTCACCACCTGTAACTGCAATTCCTCTGCAAGCTCCCTCTGCTGGACAGGTAGGCAGCAACAACACACCTGACTGAGCAATCCAAACTATATAACAGTAAAACTTGAGCAGTATTTTTTTTTTGTCAAAGTGTACACGAAACAGAGTTCCCTTAGTCATTTAAAATATCAGTATATTTCAATTTTGATGACCAGGCCTGTAAAACACTTCCATGTTTACATTTTTTAAATATTAATATTAAAAACATAATAATAATAATTATTATATATAGATTTCATGCTTAGCTATTAAATTGTGATGACCAGGCTTGTAAAATGCTTCTTAAGATGTTTTAAACATTTCTATGACATTGAAATGTTTATATAATCATAAAGAATATTTTTTCCTGGTATGCGTAGCTATTAAATTTTGATGATGACCATGCCTTTGATGACAATTTTTACAAATTGCTATGACATACTACTATTATTACTACCACTACTACTACTACTACTACTAATATATTTATATAGGTTTTTTTCTTGGTATGCTTAGGTGTTAGATTGTGATGACCAGGCCTGTAAAACACTTTTTCAAAATATTAAATTTAATAATAAATAGTCATTGGTATGCTGTAAAATAATCTGCTACAAATTATGCAGTCACTTTTATGTAATATATATGAATATATATGTTATTTTATGTACATTTTTGTAATATATGACATAAAATTGATCAATAATAATAAAAAACAATTATATAAATAATATACATTTTTGTAAATATGGAAATGTAAACAATAATAATGATTTTTAAAATAAATTCACTTGATATGAATATAATCAAACAATAACAACAGGCAAACTGATAATAGTATAGAATATATACTTTTTTTTTTTTTAGCTATGCTTTGCTGTAAAATATTTAATTGACTAGAAATTGCCTTTTCTAAGTACATTTACTTTCAGTTAATTGGATAAAATGTGTGGGAACCCTGTAAGCATTTGTATATACAGATTGGCTATTTAAGATGGCATAACTATTTAAAACGTATTATTACCAAGTAATAAAAAACGGCTGAAAATGTTAAACATCACCAAATTTGTACTCCCCAGAACCCTAAACTGTCATTTCATTTCTTCTATTAACAGGCAAAGATCTTGACCAGCTGCTTTGTCTGACCCATGATGAAGGGCTCCACCTGTGGGACGTGGCTCGCCCAGACAGCGATGACACTCTGACCCTTCTGAGTTCGGCTGATGCTCGAGCACTTGTCCAGCTCCCTGATGGAGCCTCGCTTGAGTACTTTGTGGGCGGTACATGGCTGTCAGATGAGGAGCGTATTCTGTTAGTGGGAGGGACTAATCATGGAGAGCTCCACCTCCTGGACTGCTGTGGGCGTGGTCTGAGGTTCATTAAATCCCTCAAAGGGGGCCATTCAGCTACAGTGAGGTGCTTCCAGTGGGATGCGATCAGTCAATCTCTGTTGACGGGTGGGGAGGATGGCCAGTTGTTGCAGTGGAAAGCAGGAGCAGAGGAAATCAGTGTGGGGAAGAAAGATTCTCTGAAAAGCATCTCCTCCATGCAGCTCAAAACTAAAGCTCACAGAAAACAAGCTATACAGAAAGACCGCTCAAAACTAGCATGATTACATGCACAGGACAAACTCAGATTTCACTAAGAGACAGTTGACACCGAAACAAATCGGTTATTTGACAGAAATCTCAGAGAAATTGCAAAGAGCACTAAGCTACTTTGCTCTGATGCCTTTGTTTTCACAAATGTAGGGATAATAGATAAAGATACGCTTTATGGAGACTAAATTTGAATCTTCTGCCTTATAAAACATATAGCTTATTATAGACATTGGCAGAATTTAAACAGTTTTGTAGTTTTAAAATGTAAGTTGTGAACAAATTGCTACATAAGAATTACAACTGTTGTTTGATTTGTCCAGCAGATAAACTCTCATCTATGTGGTAGTTGTTGTCCTCATGTAAACCATTACATGTCTTGTGTTTTGTTTGCAACATGTGTTTTAAAAGTGTTTCATAAGATCACTTTTGAGGTTAAACACATGACTTGAAAATGATAAAATTGTCTTCTGGGTTTCAGGACTACAAACTGAAGCTGTATTGTATTAAAGGAATAGTTAACCCAAAAATGAAAATTATCTTAAATTGTACTCACCCTCAGGCCATCCAAGAGGTAGATTAGTTTGTTTCTTAATCGGAACAGATTTGGAGAAATTTTGGTTTGAACTCTCATTCTGACTGCACCCATTCACTGCAGAGGATCCGTTGATGAGCAAGTGATGCAATGCTAGATTTCTCCAAATCTGTTTCGATAAGAAACAAACTCATCTACATGCTGACATGAGGGTGAGTACATTATCAGCAATTCTTATTTATTTTTAACTGTTCCTTTAATGCATGGAGATTTTCTGGAATATCTTGTCTTAAATGTTTTTATATGTACCTTGGAGGGCTGCATCGGCACCCCTGAGATACTTATGTCAGAATCAGTTTCTAATCAATTATGCAAAGTGCAACCATAATCACACCATGTCTGCATTCTTTCTATGCAAAGGGTTTACATTCATGGACAAAAATGGTGGTTATGTTCTTAGCAAATACATTTTACAAAATCATCTGTCAAGAATTGTATGTTTTGTGTTTTTTGTTACTTTTTAGCATGGACTAACCCATAAGAACTTCTGAAATTGTAAATAGAAATAGTTTCAAGAGCTGCAGAATTAATTCTACAACTTCATAATCTCACATTTTATCCTGAGGTTTTTTGTTGTTGAATCTCATTAGTGATTTTGAATAACTACTGAGTGTGCTTTGAAATGCAAATGTGACTTGTAAACAGGCGCGTTTGTCTCTGAGATTTATGAGCTCCCCAGTGTCACCCACTTTTCAGGGTAGCTTCTACAGTTTTCAGTGTTTGATTCTCTCAGTGTAAACACTGAGAGTCCAGCTAAGAATTCTGATGTAATGTAAGCCTGGTGAGGTTTACTATGCTGAATTCAAGACATGCCACAACAGGACAGCCCTGTTCATTTGTTCGTATTCCATCGATCGGAAACTGACCACCATCAATAATATTCAACAATGTCGCAGAAAGTGATGTGAATTCGGAATTTGGCATCTAGCACAAAAAAATGACTGCTGAGAGACAAACTGAGAAACTGTCAATTGCGTGGTGTTTGTGGATGCTATGCGTGTTGTAAATGCCCTTAAATATACAGTAAAGAATTACGGTTTCAAATGCATACATTTATCTGAATTGGAAGCCACCATAAAATCCCTAGCAAGCAACTGTCATTTATTTATTTAATTTCTAAAACGCATTAATACAACTAACGTTACATCATTTTTACAGTTTGGTGCCTTTCAATCCCCAATACAAGTTATGGCATTGCAGATTTATATATATATATATATATATAAGTAGTATGCTTCTAATGAGCTGGTTAAAAACAATAAATGTATATGTATTTTATTACATGCTGCTTTAGGTCTAAGCCTCAAATTTCACAAATTAAAAAAAAAACATTAGGCTATATGGACTAAGGTAATTTATTAACTTTAACATGTCCCCGTTTATGATGAAACATAAGTAGGTTTCATTTGACAAAACTTTCAAAGCCCAGAAGGCACTGAATCGTAGCAAAGACTATTATTTGAAATTCAATGAAACAGCCCAGAGCGTCTCTGTTGCGTAATCAGCCGTTCCCTGTGTACGCAATGACGTGATGCCTACGCGCGCGCTCTCGTCACTCATTTCCTGAAGCGTACACGAAGCCGTATGATCCTGATGCTCGTGCGATGTGCTGATAGTTCACGCCAGGTGTGCTCTTCTTTGGAATGAGACGCTCCTCATATGGGCTGGGCTCTTATAGAGGTTTAACTTCATTCCTGAAGAGATTGATTATTTCCTTTTCTTTTTTACCTGTCCAGACTGTCACCATTCTGAATAAAGATGCATTAGTGCTATGAATTTTTTTTTTTCTATTCAGTTCATTTTTATTTGTTTAGTGCTTTTCACGATAGATATAGCTTTAGAGGATGGTTTCTTAATAAACTTAGTATTGGCAAAGTGTTCAAGATTTTAATATTAATTATGTAGTTATTTTACTACATTGTAATAAAGTACATAACAATTAAAATAGTAGGTGACTCTTTCCTGCTCGCACACACCTCAACCCAACTTCTCTATTCATCGTTAGAGAAGCCTTAAGAGTTTTTCCCGCCCATGCGTGGTGATTGACACCTACATCGTCCAATCATGTTCCGAGGAATCTTCAAACTGACCAATGGCGTGGCACTGTAGGCCCGAACCCGGCCCAGCAGCCTAGAGCGCGTCCGTGTTATGTGTGCCATGGACTCAGCCCAGTAATATTGACAATAGGGCGAAAAAGGGACCGATATTCCCTAATAAAACATATTTTCTGGATTAAAATAACATATTAACGCGGTGTGTGGACGTACAGAGATACCCGGGGATGTTCGTATTTCAGCTGGATCCTTTTCTATCGTCGGAAATTTGAGTGTTTGATGGGATTATTGCTGTGGGTTTGGCAGTTTTTAAGGCCAAAAACCGATTTTGTGTCTTTCTTTTTCTTTTTCTGCTGCTTCAAGAGGCCTTGAAGGAGGAAAGACGGTTAAAAACACCCAAATCAGCTCCTCACATCGAAAACATCAAGGTAAATTAAATATTTGAATGGTGTTTGCCTATCCTGCTCAAGTTTAGATCCGGTACATTTTGGTGTTTCATATACCAAAGTAAATATGTCAAATAAATGAAGTTAAGCTCTAAGAACACTTTTTATACAGAGTTTGTTAGGGGTTGTGTACCTAAAGGGGGAAAAAATGTAATCATGCTTTTTATATTTCTCACACATGTAAAGCAACATTTGAATGGGTGTATGAGTGAAAATCCGTGAAGAAAGCTTGTTCTGGATCTGTTTTTGTTTTATTGGTGTTCTGGGATGCAGTAGGTCTTTGTCAGCTGCTTGTGTGTGTGTACACCATTAGGAGATCATGAACCTGCATCATCTGCACTCATATGGACTGTAGAATTTCAGAGGTTTCCACTTTTTTTTCTGTCCTTTTTGAAGGAACCACAGTGCCAGACTGCTCTTGTGAATCTCCAAACTTTGTGTCTATTCATTACGGACTAACCCACCAAATACAAGTTGTTCTGATCACTACTCCTCTATTCTTTGCCAACTTCTTGCTTTGGCTCAGTGGCACTGTGCCTCTGTGCCCTGTTTCCATGGTCTGGTTCATTTCAGCTGCCTGGCAGTTTGGCAGTTGCAATATCTCATCATCAACGACAACACATACATCCCATGAGTGGTTTACAGTAGGACTGGTTGTTTTGGGTGACCTTCAGTCAAAACCAATGGGAAAGGTTCTCTCTAAATACCTGGTTATAGAGATTAGGGCCAGGGCATCAGTGGCAGTGTGTTTTAGCTTAATGGCGGGGCATGAGTGTTTCGTAGATTGTGGTTGCTGGGTTCACTTCTTTGTCAGTCAATCCAGTGGTTAAGCCCTGGGATGTTTTTATACCTGCATATCTTTATACAGGGCTGGATCGCTGAACAGCATGGACATTTGGGATTATCTCTCACTATATCATAAACTAGCTCAGTTGCACTGCAATAGAGATTGCTTGATTCTATCTATCTATCTATCTATCTGTGTAGACAAAGATGAATTTTGTGCTATAAGTTAAAATGGGCTGAGTAAGGGATTTAGTTTTTTCTTTTTTTGCAGAAATTTGTTGTCTGTGTCTTGGTCTCATACAGAAATCTCACTGTGAATGTCAAACCAGGGTGAACTTTATAACAGGAGAGGAAGGAACATGGATCTTTTTCCTGCTCTCACCTTATCATTCTTACAAATGTTTATGTCCTGGTCCTATTTCACCCCACATTATATTTATTTGCATGTCAATTAAGTACTTTTTTCCTTTAGTTTCTCATAATATAATTTTTGCTATTACAGTAAAAACGTTGTAATATAAATCGTACATATGTTGGTAGATTTCAAGGTTGATTTAAGTCACTGATTCATTCAAATGCAGTAAATACTACCAACACATATTTTTTATTTATGTTTTATATATGTTTTTAAAATAATTTATATCAGCTTTTGCATTGTGATAATGAGATTTATGGTGTAAATGTGCTTTACGCTTTTTTTTTTTTTTCTTCTTTTAAAAAAAAATCAAATTATGTGTTGTGTTTCTTTCAAATGTGACTTATCTCAGCTTTGGGACATTCTCAGAGTCTTAACCACAATGACTGCTTGTGTTAATTGATTTCTGCTGACCTTATGTGTTTTCGTCAATGTTCTCTTTTGCGATTGTTGCTTGCATTCATTGTTATTGTACATGAGAGAAAAGGTTTATACCTTTTACAGATAGTGATACTGCCAGGCCTGTTGTTTCTGAGAACAGGAGAAGTGGCTCAGAAAAGGGATGACATTGTTTGTGGTGGGCTGCACAGTGCAGCATTATGGGATGTCATCAATAGACGTTGGCAGCATCTCACTCGTTTGATGTCTGCTAATTGAAACCTCTCAGACTGCAATATCAAAGTGCTCTGAATAGTCGGATTAAAGACCACACTGGTTTTGGACTGTCCAGTTCAGATAATCAGTTGAAATGTACTTTTCTGTGCAAATTCATTTGTGTCAGCTCAGAGATTTTGCTTTCAAAAGACACAAAATAACTGAGTTCAGTTCTACATCTATGACTTAAGCTTCTTGAGTTCCACTAGCATGATCAGAGGAAATTTTAGGTTGTTTTTCTCTCCTTCTTTGCTTCCCTGGCCTGTTGTTTTTCTTTTTTCTTTCTCATTCTACCTGTTAATTCTGTGTGTTTATCTGCTTTGATATCATGCATGTAATTTAAGCTGACACCAGTAGACCTGTGAAAAATCCTGATTCAGACTTTTTCGGTCAACAGAATCCTGCTGTGTTCTACACGCCTCTTTTCATTTTGTTTTGTTTTTTGCTTATGAATTTGTTTTCATTCTGTTTTATCTTTCATCGCAGGGTGCATTCCTGCCTTTATTTACATCTCCTGCCTAGATTTTCATTTTACCACCACATTTCCTTCCTATAGCCATTTGTGGTTTGTTTTATAATTACAGTTGCTTTTGAATTGCAAACTTCTTTGTAAGAAGGCATTAAAACAGGTCTGGATTTAGTGCTGCTTACACTGGACCTGCAAAACACAGACATAATGAAAATACACACACACATCACTGATCTGAAGACCTCAGTACAACTAATGGCTGTTTACGGTGCTGCTGGAGAGCAACTTGACATACTCTTTTATCTTGTTTTTCCACTACACACTTAAATATCTGGAATTATTTAATCCATCATAGAACACTCCTGCCAGGTTCCTACAGAATCTGAGTTCACAGATATTGTTTTCTTTTGTGTATGTGTTGTTTTGCAGGAATAACTCGCTATTAATCATTCTGTAATTATGTAGCCTGATTACTGTCAATGACGGTAGGAGTGTGTTTACCTGTAAATATTTTGGTTCATAATTACTGAGTGCCTTGCAAATATTAGACTCGAGATGATGCAAAATATGTTTGTGTTCTCTAATTGTATTCATCTAAAAACTTTACAGAGTGATCATGTTAACGAGTAACAAGCAGTTGTTTATAGCCATAGCAAATTAAATGAAGACGATTATGGTCATTATACAAACATTTGGTAGTGTTTCTTTGACTGTCATATACTTTCATTCATTACTCAAAATCTGGGCTCTTATATATACACACAACCCACTAACTAAATCTGTAGCGTTTATGACTGGTAAGTATTGTCCCAGCATTTCTGTGTAATTTTAAATGAAGATCAAAAGCAAAGTCAAAACTTGGAGACACTTCATGTAGGGTTGTTTCCAAACAAAACAGAGCAAATTAATCCATTAAAAATGGGCCGTTCCTTAGCATTGTTAGCAAAGTGAGCCTGGTGGCAATGGTCACTTCAAGGAAGTATTTTTAAATGTTTGTGATCATATGATCGTGGGAGGGGATTTATTTTGAAAGCTGAGGTTAAGATCTTATATTGGACATTATAACCCTCAGTTGTTCTCATGCGCCCAAGGACTATTGATGGGAAATATTTTTACACATACCACAGAGATGCACATGTTGATGCATTTGTTGCAGTGTTGATGTGTTGTCTTACACACCTCGCTCTCTTTTTCCAGGGCTATGTCCTCCGCAGCCACCACGCCTCCATCAGTGGATAAAGTAGACGGATTTTCCCGGAAGTCTGTCCGGAAAGCCAAGCAGAAACGTTCTCAGAGTTCCTCACAGTTCCGCTCTCAGGGCAAACCAATCGAACTCACACCTCTTCCCCTGCTCAAAGGTGACTCACTCACGATTACTAAATGCTCTCATAACCACTTCTGCTCTGAAATCACTTGAGCTCTGAAAATCCCTGATACAGAGTAGAATATAATTCTGATTCAGACTGCTTCAGTGGTCTATAAAGCTTTACAGTAGAATAAGAATACAGATTTGCTGTAAATGTAGCATTTTGCTGAGGTCTCATGTGTGAACTGGACTCGTTGTCAACACGCTAGTGTTGTTTGCTTTATTAGATTAAGTTGTTCTTTAATAGTTATGTTTTTTAATAGTTATCATTTATTGTGCATGTACACACATTCTTTGTGTTTGGTTCATGTGTTTGTAAATGGAAGGCACGTATCCCACATAGGGCTGGACGATATGGCCAAAATTTATATCACAATATATTTCTTAATTTCGGTCGATACGATATAATTCCGATATCGATATAAACTATATAATATTTTAGGAAAAAAATGGCGCAAATAAATAAATGTTCACCTTTTATTGGTATTTAGCCTTCATACAAACAAGAAATGTGAAATCACTGTCAAATAAATCTCAGACTCTCCTTATTAATATTTATATTTTTTACTTCAAACTATAGTTTTTGAACAGTAAGATTTTTAATGTTTTTTTAAAGAATTCTCTTCTGCTCACCAAGCCTGCATTTATTTGATCCAAAATACAGCAAAAACGGTAACATTTTGAAATATTTTTACTATTTAAAATCACTGTTTTCTATTTGAAAATATAATTTATTCCTGGAACTAACGGTTTCTCCAGTAACGGCTGTAAACAAAGCAGCTCCGCTCATGAACGCTACTTTATCAGATAAAAATGCCATCTAAACTATTCTGAAGACAGTCGGTTCCCTTCAGAGATACATTCATATAAAACACCCGCGACGTGTTATGATTTTGAAACGTGCAGTGCTCATGTTTATTCAACGATGTCAAATGCTACAAATAAATCAGTGTATGGGAAGCACTGGTAATGTATACCGAAATATCGGAAATGTGTTTAAAAATCATATCACCGTTATTGAAAACAATTATATCGCGATACATATTGATATTGAATTATTGTCCAGCCCTAATCCCACATTGCATTGTGGATATGATTTCTCTGTGTGGCTGTGTCCTCTAGTTACACTACCGTTCAAAGGTTTGTGGTCTGTGTGTTTTTATAAGAAATCTCTTATGCTCACCAATGCTGCATTTATTTGATCAGAATTACAAAATTGTCATAATATGAAGTATTATTGCTAGGGATGCTCCGATCGATCAGCCGGAGATCGGTATTGGCCGATAATCACATTTTATGATTCGATCGGTACTCACTACACTTGGCCGATCTCACGAACCGATCACAATTTGATGACGTCAACGCGTGACGATGCACATGATTTGTGGGGACATAAATGATTTGGCGCCACAGTCATGTCATCGCCGGTGTGGAAATGCTATGACGTTTCGAGAAACAATGAAAAATTTGCTATTTGTTGTGTATGTTTTGCATGATGATATGATGAATGGATGGTTAATTTTTAACAGCAGATTCAGTGACGTTAGTGCTAATCTGCGCCTCACTGCACACGTCTGTGGCGCGTTACGGCTCCACGGAAACTGGAGCTGATCGCGGCCGCTCTAATGCTTGTGTTTATACCAGCCAGCCGCGGCACGTTTCTGAAACGGCTCTCCGCGCTGCTTGGCTAAAAATAGTCTTTTGTGAGTTATCACAGCGTGGAGGACAGAACAAAACCTCCTCGGATTCGTAAGGTATAACGGTAACCTAACACGCTGATTGTGGGCTGCTTTTAAATTAACATTTTATTTATAAAACAAAATATCTTCTTTGGCCATATTAGCTTACTCAATAGCATTAACGCAGGCTTTACTCCTTTCAAACTTTATCTGGAATGTTTCTGTCACTGCAACTTCCCGATCAGGCGAACAAACACACACACACGAAATCATCTGCCTCATGAAAAAATGTATTTAAAAAAAATGTAGGCCTAGTTAATATTTTCATCATTTATGATTTCTTTTATCCACTAGCGACTAGAGTTTTTTCTACGTCACGAAAATAGGTAAATCCGGACCTGCCATCTAATGTGTGTTTTGGCCATGTAATGTTGCTGAAATTAAATATGTTATTACCTCTGAGTCAGAGCAGCGATCATGGAAGAGAGAACACAAGCAGACAGCGCTGGAAGCTGCTAATGCTCATCAGTAAATCAGTGGAAAATAAATAGAAATCATGATTCTGTCTGAGCTATGCGTTTTAAAACGAACACTAACTAGTGTAAATGTAGCCTAACAGATGTGTAAACTGAGCTTTATTAAAACTATTTTGCACTGATTTATTGTGTTGGTTACATTTTGTTCCTTTGTGCAGTGGCTCAGGAGATGAGTCTTTGAGTTTGTATAAACATCAACAAGCTGAAAAATAAAACCAAAGTTTTTTTTAGATAATGTAATCTTGTTAAAATTGATTTAATAAAATTGGTATCGAAAAAAGTAGCGTTCAGGAACCGGTATTGAAGTCAAGGTATCGATATCGAAAAATTTTGAACGATACCCAGCCCTAGTCTAGAGACCCTCTTTCGAATGAGACCACCCCCGCGTCGATAGCCCCCTAGGTTCGGGAGTTACGGATGGTTAAATTTGCGGTCCGGCGCCGACCGATCTAGCGATCCCGGGGGAATACCGACGCGTGGAGGGTGGTGTTCGAGAGGGCTCCTCGAGCTGAAGGGATCCCCCGAATTTTGTGAAGATCCGCCAGCGCATTCGCGAGATAGTGGCACCAGTCAACACTTTCACTTTAGTAAGGAGGTTTCTTGTTCAGGCAGCATTCAAGCGTTGTCTTATTCAACCGTAAGTGCCCTGCGAAGTGGACATAACATGAAATTCCACCATGATTCCAGTTCCAAGGGAATGTACACATTACATTCAAAGGGCATTTAAGTGCGCGAGACGTGAATTTATATTGTATTTATTTACAGAGGTAGGGGAGAGCGGGGCACAAAGTAGCACTTTCTCAGTTTGTGTAAATCCACATGGGGTTCAGAATATATATCTTTTTTTATCCACAGTAATTTTACACTTGTCTAGTACAAATATGTCGCTTTGTTTCATAATTACAGTGTATAAGTTTTTCTTTATTTACCCTAAAAAAAAATGGAAGTGAAATGTGACAACATGCCCCGTAGGTGGAACAGATTGTAACATCTGAGGGGCACGTTGTAACTTGACCATATGGACAGCTTAAAATCTTATCTGATCGAATGAAAAAAATGGACAGCTTTTTTCCCTTAATAAATTAAATCATCATTTAAAAACTGCATTTTGTATTTACTTGCATTATCTTTGTGTAATATTAAAATTAGTTTGATGATCTGAATCTTTTAAGTGTGACAAATATGCAAAAAAAAAATTTTAAACAGAAGGGGCCAAAAACCTTTTCACACCACTGTATGTGTGTGTGTGTGTGTGTATATATATATTATATATATATTAGGGCTGCACGATAAATCGCATGCGATATTTAACGCGCATCTTGTCAGAAAGCCGGTTCTGTAATCAGCGGTAAATCTCCATCACCTGCGGGCTTTCACATTGAGCAGCATTAACTACACAGAGCCGTTGTTCACTGACTAGCTGCGCCAAAAATCGCACGGATATGAACGTGGTTTGGCGCAGCTAGTCAGTGAACAACGGCTCTGTGTAGTTAATGCTGCTCAATGTGAAAGCACGC